TGTTATAGTTATCACTACAGCTCTATCATTTACTCAACTATTTTATTATGTTCTTCTTACTAAAATGTATTCAAGTAAAAAATATGTCATTAAGCTAAGCAAGAGTTAGTTTGTTTGAATTTGCTAATCTCCCAAACTACAGTTTTGAATCATAATTCAATTATTTTTCTGTTACAAAATCCATTTATTATGGAAGACTATTTGCTATATGCACATCACGCTACAACTAATTAGAGCCGAGCAGAAAGAATTCACAAGGAAGTAGCTAGCTACTAATACTTGATATTGAGTAACCAGTGTTCGATTACCTGTCATCATGGTATCCATTGGCCATATCATGGCAAACTAAAGTTTTTGGCAAACTTTTAGACTCGTATCGTTTCACATCTTCTAAGTCTGGGTCAAAATGACAAAATTTTTCCGGTCTCTCAAGGGACCAAGAATCCTTATTATTAATTTCTATATTCCGTATTAAATAGTCACTGTGTGGCGTCATTTCTTTACATAAAGTCCGCCAAGGCGGCGGGTTTTCCAAAAACAGCAATATTTCGCTGTAGCTGTCTAGGGGTTTGCACACAAATTGTGACTCAATCTTCTTCGTTGATTTCATGTTTCATCCAGCTTTTTTGCCAAATATTTATTAGTTTGTTCACTCAGAAAAACACTAGAAATACTGCACTTACAGGTACTCAGTCAATTAATTAAATAAATATTACTATAACCACATTTTTGTTATTAAGCAGTTTGTGTTTGTTTATGTTTAGTGACGAGCGTCCAACGTCCAACCTTCCAACCGTTATCATTACAAATGAATGTCAGTTTGACTTGACGCCTTGACGCGAAACTGACACTGACAAAAGTTATAGAAACAATAGATAATTTACTCGCAAAGAGTAATAATAGACGTAGCTACCTACTAACCTACAATACTATTTTATACAAAGATTAATACACAAGTTCATAAAATCACAACGGCGCGGTTTCTAGAATCGATTATTTGATACGTACCTACGTATTAAATCATTTTAAATCCATATTTTTTACAGTTCCTAAATACCTAGTTTCGGAATTATATAAACATAGGATTTTCATCTTATTATCATACTTATCATCAAGTTAGTAATTTATTATTGATTTTTTTTATAAATAAATTAATGTTTTCGGGTAACTAATAAACCAAGGAAGTTTTTTCTAATAGTTTGTACACTTAGTGTAATACATTTTTTTAAATACTATGTTTGATACGAATTTACTTGCTATTTTAAAATAAATGATATTTCTGGAAGGACCAGTATTAATAAATATTTATGGGTGTATTGACAATAAATTAAATCTAAAATGACTTAAATCCAACCAGTAGTTTTTTTATTGATGTTTTTGTAGTTAAATCGGGGTTAATCTCACAAACTAGCCACTTTTTTTTTTTTTTTTGGTCAAGCCCGCCACAACCTCCCAAAACCGCTGCAACTCCTGTAAGCCAGGATCTACAGTAGATACAACCATGAAAACACCGGAACATTGAAGTCCGGCGCGTCCCAGGGACATGAGTAACTGTCTTGGTTCCCGCAACGAAATGAATCAGAAGATATTATAAGAGGAGAAGAAGAAAAAACTATAATTTCCACTTCCCTCGGTGAATTACTGCAGGAGACAGAATGAATTAAGCCTAAAGGCACAAAGAAGAGACTGTACAACTGGGTGAAGCCCAGTCGCCAAGCACCACGAAAATTTGACTAAAAAACTAAGTGGGTCCTATGTGTGAGCTGTTATACTTGCTTCCAATAATAGGTATGGCAAAAGCGCCTAAACGCACGGAAATTTGTTCTAGATTCCACAAGGTCCGTATAATAAGCTACGCCTGATGAAACAATTAAATTATTCAACATAGTGTTACGTTCATATTGCCAGAGATCACACTCCCAGAGTATGTGATGGGCCGACTGCTCATATCGCAACTCCTCTGACGAACATTGGCACCATGGTGAATCAATAAGTTTAAATGAGAACAATTTGCTTTTAAAGTTGCCGTGGCCAGTAAGAAATTGGGCAACACAGTGATCCACCTCCAACCATGTCCTCTCCAGCCGCTCATGCACGGATGGGAAGAACTGATACAGGTGGCGGCCCTTACTACAAACTAGCCACTTGCGGACTAGGGACCTCAGGGCTATTTTTGTAGGAAATTAGTTGTATTATCACCTCCCGAGAGGAATACGTCGAGTTATAAGTCACCCTGTATATAGATCTACATATACATATAGATAGATAGATATGTAGGTAGGTATTTATTAATGTATAACAAGTTAATAATTACATTATACCTAGTGTAACAATTTCTGTGGGACAATTATGCCCTAAATATGATAAGCAATCATGAATTTAGGACACGTCGAACTGTGATAAGACTCAGTTGATTGTTCTAGTCACATAATTAAAATAAAATAGATGATAAACTAATAATATCAGACTTATTGTATGTTGCATCATTGCATGACACGAGTAGGTAAATAAATGAGTTCGACCTAGAGGGATACAATAGCAAGCGATAAAGTGGATGTTTGTAATAAAATGGTAAGATGAAATATATTGTATGGCATGGCATCTCGCCAGGGTATGGGCGGTCTGCCCATTCAAGCAAGTCGGCGATCACCAAAGGGCCCTGGGGTTATAGGGGTCTCCAAATTGCTCTTAAATATGGATTTTTTTACAAATAAGTCTAGCCTAACCAGCTAACCAGACCTAGCCAGATTAAGCTGATCATTAGTCTCATAATATTATTCCGACGCTAAAATGAGACAAATAGCAAGGGGTATGTAATGTAACTCGGGGTTGTGTAACTCCATAGCTGTGCCTCCTTGTACGAGTGCCCGTGATGGTGACTAGAGTATCTTCTGCGTACCACACAAGATGAGTATGAGCACATGAGCACCCAGTCCGTTCAATATTCCCGTTCACAGGATGGCACTGGGTCATATATCATCATCCTTATATCAGCCACAAGATGTCCTCTGCTGATTATCCTAGGCTAGGCTTTCCTCAACGACTTCCAGATATTTTTGCACCGAATCTCACTAAAATAAGTTCAGTGGTTTAAGAAACCGATAGTCCCAGCGCTGTAACGCATAGTTCCCGTCCGGTTAAATTATTTCGTTCGTTCGGACTGATAGGTTTAAATTAATACACTTACATCCTCTAGCATCCCGATGGGGGTTAAATTTATTGAAATCCTATATAAGTGGATGTCTTCATCATAGTAGCTCCAATCTGTAGGTAATTTCAGTTCAGTCAGGCGAAAATCTAAGAACATTTATATAAGCTTCTATCTTCACAGTAAGCTGCGCGACGTCGCCGCGACCGCTACCTACTTAAACAACCCAATACCAATATGTTTAGCGAAAATCTAATAATAATAAATAATAATAAAGCTTTATTTATTCCATGCATGCATACATATTAATCAACATTTGTGATAACAATTCGAGAACTACATTAATTATATTAAAAAAATTATAATTACAAATATAAATTTGAGTTCCAATTATTATAAATTTTTCTATTATATAGTATAGTATAATAGTTTTTTTTTTTCTTATTCATGCATAGACCCCATTCGGGTAAAAGCCTCCCCCAAGAAATGCCATCCCTTTCTGTCCTTTGCTCTGTCTAGCCAACTTTCACCTGCACATGCAACAATTTCGTCTGCCCATCTGGCCCTTGGTCGACCTCTTGATCTGGTGCCTTTTGGCCCAGACCATTTCACTGCCCGTAAAGTCCATCTGTCGTCCTTGTAACGGGCCACGTGGCCAGCCCACTTCCATTTAGCCCTTATTGCAAATGTTAAGGCATCGCATACTTTAGTCCTTTTTCGAATGTCGACGCTCCTCACCTTATCCCTCAATTTTATTCCTATGCAGCTTCTTTCCATTCTTCTCTGGGTAGTTTGGATTTTCTTTCTGGTTTTGAGATCAAAGATCCAAGTTTGGCATCCATATGTTAGGCACGGCAGCAGTCCTGTATCCATGACTATTTTCTTGAACGGTAGCGATAGTTGCGATTTTAATATTTCCTTATGATGCCAGAACTTGTTCCAGGTAATCGCCACTCTTCGGTTTAGTTCTTCGGTGTTTCTTTCCTTACTAAAGGAGATTTGTTTTCCTAAGTATGTGTAGTGATTAACAAACTCGAGAGGAGTGTTATTTTCAATAAGCGAAAATCTACTGATTCAAAATTATACCCCATTTTCGCAAATATAGAAAAATCACTTCTTTGACACACATCTTTTAGCATATCTCACTGAAAATATGTTTCTTGTAAGGTTTGTATCCACTCATTCGTAGATAAATACTGTATTCATTGGTAGGTTCGTTTTATATCAAGAATAAGAGAGTTTTTAAGAAAAACTGCTTCTTGTGTTAGTTTCCGTGGAACAATTTTATGTCGCTCAACTTTAACGTACAGCAGTGAAAGAAAGGTACGTGGTTTGTACAATAAGCGTAAGAACCTTATAACAAATAATCGAAAAATAAATTATTCTATGAGGGTCCGATTTGCATGCATATGTTACTACTAACTGTCTCGTTGACCGAGTGCTCGCAAGTGCAACTGCGACAGTAAAGGGGTCGCGGTCAATTCCCAGGGAAACTATTACTATTTTTTTAAAGTTCTCAGTAGTAGTATGGAGTTTGAATTATGCTCGGTATATGGCAATAGTTAATTAAATACTTTAAGGGCAATAGGCGCACTCCCTACTATATGGAACTCGTAACAAAAATTAATTGTAAAAAGTGGGTGTTACATTGTACAGTGGCATTATGTGCCGTAATGTGAACCTCTGCCTACCCCTTCGAAGAAAAAAGGCATGATGTTATAATTATAATGTTACCATCACTTACACCCAATGATTACTGGGCTTTTTGTCTTTGTCTTTTTTGTCAATGTGACAATGTATCTGACAGTGACAGTGTCTGAAGTCTGAATGGGTCAACGCCAAGTCGATGTCATGTCATATTATCACACAAACATTGTCTGTCTAACACCAATGTCAAAATGGCACATGAGACGTGATCCAGTATTATTTTCTAATAGTTATTTCTCTCTGACTAGTATACCTGCCTTATACCTGCGGTTATTACGATATTTGCTAAATATTTTGGTAATAACCTATATTGCCTTAAAATTATTTATTCAAATTAAACTCCTTTTTCTCACTAAGGTCCAGAAGCTTAATCATAGTAGAATTTTAATGTATCAATTATTGTGTGTACTGTCCTGCAGACTAGAATATGACTTACAAATAAATCATGGGAACAGTGAATATACTTAGCTGTAACCTGTAGGTAGCTGTAAACTGTAAGTCTAAGATTTTTTGCATACCTACCATTATTGCCTGAATTTCGATTCTACATTAATTGTTAACCTTTACCTATATAAGCATCTGAAAGTAAATTTTTAAACGACTGGTTGAGAAAGAACCTACATCAAATTCTATAAATAAAATTTAAATATATCTAACTAATATATCTATCTAACTACTCCCGCGCGGTGTCTATTGGTCAAGAAGTTTTCGAATTGGACCAGTAGTTCCCGAGATTAGCATGTTCAAACAATCGAAATTATTCAGCTTTATTTAATAGTACTAGCTACACCCGCTGTGCTCGGCTCCTATAGATCATAGCATGATGACCATGATGTTTCATAGCCTATAGCCTTCCTTGGTAAATAGACTAACCAACACAAAAAAAAAACAATTATCTAAATCGGACCCATAATTTCGCAGATCTTTATATACATATTAGTGAAAGATTAGTATAAGATAAGAAATAATATAAGATTATACATATGATAATATATATATATATTTTCTTTATTTAATCATATGAGGCAGTTAGGGACTCATTTCATTATGTAATAACTTTTTCTAGACTGCATCTTGGAGGCAGAGTATCGTTATATTGATACTGGTGTGAGTTCATAACAGAAGATAGCACATTATGATGCCTAAACGAACATGGAAAACAAGGTAAATAGGTTATGTATTTTTAATTGTATAGTAAGACAGTGTGAGGGTTTCAATCCATCATGAAAACATGATGGTTTACTATGCAGTGCTCTATCAAGTGTCAGCCTGCTCTCACACACAAGTGGCTGATTTAGGTTACTACATAATGTCACATTCTAACAAACAAATAACAACTTTTTACTGGTTTAATTAATACACCTTGTATAAGGCCAGGGCCTTTTGTCCATAAACCAGTTACAATCCCTGACTTAATGCTACTATGAACATTTTAGGACAAACCAAAAACACCCAATAGTCCTTTGCGTACCTTCAAAAATAAACCCTAAAATTCATATTCTTCAACAAAATGTTATATGGTCACTTGGTTATTTGGACCTACTGAAATATATATAATTTTCTCATTTTATAATCTGCACTACTTTAACATGAATTATGTTTCCTTTCAGGATTTTAAAAGTGCGAGTGATTAATTGCATATTTTTTATATTAGCTGTGAAGGCAATAATTAAGTTATTAACAACATGTGGCATCTACAACTATTCACATCTCCCTGCGGAGGTAATAGAAACACAACTCTATAAGCAAATATCACCAACTTTCATTACACAGAAATCTAAACCAGATTGTAAATATGATGGAGTACTTAAGAGTGAGTTGTCTATATCAAATTGGGAGGTACCAAAAACATTTGATGACTTCTCAGCAACAGGCTTGGTAAATGGCAGTTTCATTCCGGATCACTGCACTCCAATGTTTAGTGTTGCTATAATAGTAGCTTACAGGAATAGACAGAGACAACTAGACATATTCCTACCTTATATGCATAACTTTCTGAGAAAACAAAATATACACTACAGGTTGGTTATTCATTTATAATTTGTAATGTATTGTGGAATAAAACAACTTTGCCAATGTGGGGGCTTACTCTTGAATCAAATTAGGATTTTGGCATTACACTGGAGACTATTCTGACAGCTGCAACAGGAGTGGATTGGATTGACATTGAATTCAGAGTTTTTTTCATGGGCTTGAAATTGACATTGATTAGTTCCAAGAGTAAGCCTGCTGAAGTGGCTTGTGCTATTTAGCTCTGCGACTATTAACTATAAGTACTTGCTCTTGAAATAACAATACAATAAATAAACCCCTTGCAGAATATATTTAGTGGAACAACAAGATGAGAAAATATTTAACAAGGGTATTCTGTACAATGTTGGAGCAAAAGTGGCAATCAGGGACAAGTTCCCCTGTCTGATCCTACACGACGTAGACTTGCTGCCGCTGGACGCGAACAACCTGTACGTGTGCGCGAACGAGCCGCGGCACATGAGCGCCAGTATCGACAAGTTCAGATTTGTGCTCCCCTACGACTACCTGGTGGGCGGCGTGCTGGCGCTCAAGTCGGAACAATACGTGCAAGTCAACGGGCTATCGAACAGGTTCGAAGGCTGGGGAGGCGAAGATGATGACTTTTCATGGAGACTCAGTTCACATAAAATTAATGTTATCAGGTAAACTAAATTAAATCAGCATTATATTTGCTATCCCCTCTTACTAAGTATGCATATTTCTTCGCATAACCCTTCCCCCCTCCCCCTATTAAATTAGGATTAGGACAACCAATGATAAATTGACACATGTTCCAGTTGAGTGGACCGATATGAACGTCTTCCGGTTTAAAATGATGGGAGTTGTTTAATTGTCATGTCCAGTAGTCCAGTGTACAGAATTAGTAACAATTTAAGTCACAAACTAATTGTTACAGGTATCCTCGTGAAATGTCCCGCTATACGATGTTGAGGCATCCACAGGAGCGCAAAAACACTCGGCGCTCAACTGTCATGAAGGAGAACAAGCAGAACCCATCGACCAACGTGAAGGACGGATTCACTTCGACGCGGTACCATAGCATGCACGTCAAGAACCACCGACTGTTTACACACGTCGGGGTGGTGGTGTGACTGTAAGCTTCATTGTCGCCCAGGGGCGGTCTGGCCATACAAGCCAGTCGGCGATCGCCGAGGGCCCCGGGCCTGTAGGGGCTCCGAAATAGGCCCGGGGAAAAATTTTTCGTTCTTACTAAACATTTTTTTTACACGAGAGTCCGGGTTTATAAGGGCCCCAAATCGTTTCTAATTATATTTATTTCATTAAAAATAAATATTTTTGTAGTAAGAAAAAATGTTTCTTTTCAAGCAAACAGTTCAATCTTAAGAAACAAAAGTCTAATGCATTTCTGTAATTATCAACCTGCCCAACAAAATGGCCTTAAAATGTTGACCCCTAAATCAGATGCGAAGGTATCTCAAATTGAGTTACTTTTTTTATTTCACACTCGGCGCCCACTGAACCTGGTTTCTCATTAGACATGGATGTCGGCTTCATAATCCTCACGGCGACCGCTTGAGTCTTGGCCACATGCACAGCCAATTTCTGCTTGTCCAGCCATTCAGAGAGTGCATGTAGGAGCGCTGTAGTTTAACTACTGCGTGTGTGGTGTTCACCAACGTCGTGTAGTGCGTGGCGAGTTTGATGCGTCCGCGGCATGCCGGCCTGAACGCCGCGCTCAGCCGACGAGGTACCTTCTTCTGCCAATTGGAACGTTCTGCCGTCCAGTAAGGTGGCCACGATCTTAACTATTCAGCGAGGACTAGTAGATGTGGCTAGCTTGCTGAGCAGCCCGGCCGTGCCAGACGCGATCGAAGGCCTTCTCCATATCAAGGAATATTGCTGCGGCGTGGTCGCGATTTTTACGCGCGGCCGCCAGGTCGTACAGTACCCTCGCAGCCTGCAGGGTCGTGCAGTGCTGTGGGCGCATGTAGACCAACAACAGCTTCTCGAAGAGCTTCGCGCCAGAGTCCAGGAGCAGGGTGGCGCGGTGATTCCCTGGCAGCCGCGTGTTCGTCCCCTGCATGGGCAGCATGATGACTCTGCCAAGCATCCACTTGAGAGGAAAGTGTCCAGTACGGAGGATCCAACTAAATAGCCGCGTCAAGTCGCGAGTCCTCGCGGCGGCAGGCGGCGGAGAGCTTCATTGGGTATTCCGACCGGACTGGATGCTTCGCGCTGTGTCATACGCCACCACGCACGGTTCGACCTAAATATCTATATACGGCTGCTGTGGTTTACACGTGGTGGGCTGGGTTTGGCTGGAACTGTCTCTCCGGCAGTTGGCAAATAGTTCTGCTCGGTCCTCGGCTTGGTAGCGGCCAGTTCAGCAGGGTGTGGACGTCAGTCACAGCGAGGAGATATTGCGGCGGTCTGTAGAATGCGACCACCCGGGTTGGCTGGTGGTTGATGCAGATATCCATGCCCAGTGCATAGAACGCACGTAGCGTTGGCTTTAGCTTCATATCCTAATATTATTATAGGAGGTTTTTATTCAATGAAAACTCGGATAAAACGACGTTTTCTGAAAAACCAAACCTAAAAAGGGCAGCCGTTAAATTTTCGTCAGCTTTTTCCGATTTATGCAGTGTAACGGTGTCAGTGTATGGTATGATAATATTATGATGATGACAAGACTGCACGGTCGGCGCGGTGGCTGCAACCGGCTACCGCGCAACGTGTACTGGGTTCCATTCTTGCACGGAAGAACTCTGCAATCCATTTTTTTTTTCTAATCCACGTAGTAAATACTGGGGGATCCATATTCGGTCCAAGGAGGGCCCCAAATGCTGCCAAACCGCCCCTGAAGTGTGTGCTATGCTATAACCAATCATTATTATTTTAACTACGCAGTATTAAGGCGGGCTCTGAGATCACAAGTCACATAAGGCTATTGTCCATCTTAGGAGTTTAATATTGTGATAAAACATCTTTTATACAATATTATAGGTGACGAGGCTTACCTGAGTTTACATTATTTTATTATATTTGTTTTTATTATTATATTTGTTTGTTGTAGTGATTGCTGAAGAAACTTAAGATCCTTTTCAAATGTCTTACCTACTTATATTTTACAAATAGAAAGAATAGATTTGTTTAAAGCTGACGATATTGTACAGATGTAATCTCGATCGAACCAAATATAAATATGATTTAATTTAACTTTTAAGTTCATGGGACATTTAAACCAATAAGTATTATTTTAATACTGTAGAATCTCACCAACATATCTAGTCCTGATTGAGTTAAAATCTCGATTTATTTAAATAACTACTATTTATACTATACATAAATTGTATGCTTTGCAAAATGTTGAGATCTTTGAATTGTTCGAATATAGTATACGTTATTATATTAGCCGCGCGCTTATGTCGTTTATGTAATGTGGTATGGCAGTAGTTTACAGTAAACGCCAGTGTGTGTCCACTGAGTTTGTGAATGTAACAAATAATATTTGGAGATTGTGCCTTCTAAGTCAACATATTAGATAATTATAAAAAATGTTTGTATCTAAGAAATGTTACAAACTGTAAATGTAAAAGTTTGTGTGTATGTTGTATGTTTATTACTCAATCACGTCAAAATAGCTGAAGGGATCGAGATGAAATTTGGGAAAGGGATAGATTATGGTCTGGAATGGGCGAAGCCGCGGGCAGAAGCTAGTACTCAATAATGTCATGTCATTGATGTAAGATGTGTCTTATGACGTATATGTTACAGTCTAAACTATATAGCTACCGTCACATCATTCGTTCGATTACTTCAATCCCTTCTTCCTCATCTAGTTTAGCCTTGGTCCCAAACGTATAATTACTCAACGAGGTACCTAATATTAGTTTTGACTGATGCTTTATTGCAGTGAAAAGTACTAAAATAAATATTTTTTTATATAAACCGTTTTTGACCAAACTGTTCTGTACACAGTACTTTTGACTGGTGAAGAGTTTTGACTGTAACGTATACAAATATATGTAAAAGGTACAGTGGATAGCAGTAGCAGGTCAACCTACTCCTTTGTGTCAAATATTTATTTTTACATTTTCGGCTTTATATTTTTTAGTGTCGTGTTAAAAATCCACTGAAAAAATATAGATTGACCTATTGGCTACTGTACCTACTCTTATTCTCGTGCGTCATTGAATCCTAAGCCTATGTAGGTACCTACATGCTGTCTATTAATATACATAGGTAGGTGAAATTATTTGTCTGTATTGATTGAATTATTTATTATGTCAGCGTATAAATACGTCTTACGCTGTATGAGCTGTAACTGGTAGTGTCAGCACCTTACTGGCGCGAGTACGTACTTACAATGCGTGATGGTACGTACACACCAGTAGGTGTAGGTAGATATCTGCAGATGATGAGAGTGAGATGAAATTGTGTGCGTTTCGTTACAAATCGGAATCTGCTGCACATCCATGGCATACCGTAGCGAGGTCAGCCTGTTGTACCGGGGCTATAATTATATATATAAGTATACTTATGTCTAAGTATGTACACTTTACAGTGTCACTCTGGTAATGGTATCAGGTATTTTTTTTACCAGGTAACCGAAAGTTATATTATAGAAAAGACTCGCGCAAAGATCTCAAGCTCAATGAAAAATGAAATATATTTATTTTGAATACTTATGTATGTTCTGTAACCCCGGCTGGGCGGTGGTAACAGTGAGAGCGAGTGCCTTTTGAAGTAAGTAACTATTGTTACTGTATCCGTCTTGCTTCACTATGTCTTCGAGAGGACCGCACAACCACTCAAATAATTGTCTATAATCTGAACATAAATGATATTATCAAATAAAATGTTAGCAAGGTTCTATTAAGCGTGTAAAAGTATAAGGTTTTGTTTTACACAGTGTAGTTTTTTCATACAAACATTACCCAATTCAGGGAAACGAATACTCGTACTACATACGGTGAAGGTAAATGTCGTGAGGGTACCTCGACTTACAATAAATAATTATAATACTCAATCCTTCTCCGTGTGAGAAGAGCGTTTTGCTCAGCACTGGACATCTACTAAGACCTGTCACACACGTGCGGCGCAACGCGTTGCTAACGCCCAAATACAAATACTGAAAGGGTACACAATTTTTTGAATATCTTGCCATCGCTGTCGTTTTATAAAGAATAGTTGTGCGCGCTCAAGAATAGTTGTAGTGACTAGAACTATTCTTGAGCGCGACTTAAAATTGAGTAGCGTTTGAATATTTCGACGTAAGTTTCGATAATTCTACTTTACAATGACATCGGTAGTATTAAAACGACAACGACTAAGTACGACTCAAGGCTCATACATAAGTCATAGCACACTTAACCGCCACGGCTCTAACCCAGCAATTCACTTTTCAGTTAATACTGATAATGTTAAATAATGAACTTTATATCGTATATCGTATGGCATGTTTCATAATGTCAATATAAAAACGCCGTGTCAAAGCTGTGCCGAAGCCGAGCTTGTTAGGAGTGCTATAACATTTAGTCTGTTTATAATCCTACACAGAAAATGCGACGGACGGTCGTCGCCGATCACTTCTGTACGAGACAGTGCGGCGTCCGCGTAACGCAACGCAAAACGAACTATTTGGACAGGAAATATCCTGTCCAAATAGTTCGTTTAAATTGTTTTTGAAACCCTTTAATCAAATAGGTAGTACAAAATGATACTTGTACATGTTTTACGTTTGTGAGGCAACTTCAAACCGTCTGCCACGTGTTTGTATGAAATACCGCGCTATGTAAAGTCCTTATAGTGCTCTGCGTACTTTTTGGAAGTTTAACAGCAGATATTGTCAACCGGAACCCATTCCCAGAGCATATTCTTGCACAGAGTTAAACAACAAGTAGAAGTACCTACATTTATAAATGCAGCTCCGCATGTCATGGTAAAAGTTAAGTGAGTGTCAAATGTTTATGTTCAATTGTCTCAAACAATAAAGTACTTAATTTGCTTGAGTTAAGTGTGAGTTTATTTATTTACCCCTGCACTGCACTAACGTCAGCTAATGTAGTAGGTATAATGTCGTGGTGGCCCGGAGGAGTAGACGCCCGCTTCTCGTGCATGAGAGTGCGGGGACGAAACCTACCAACGGCAAGTACCAATGTGACTTTTCTGAGTTATAAGTAGTTTTAAAGATTATCTAGACACCACTGAAAAACTAATTATAAGTTTGAAATCGCTAACCCGCATTGAGCAAGCATGGTGATTAATGCTCAAACCTTCTCCGTGCGAGATGAGGCCTTTGGCCAGCGGTGGCCATTTATAGGTTGTGAATGATGATGATGCTGATGCCCTTGGAAATCTCAGAAGAACGGGAACTATGCGTTAAAATGCCTGGACCAAGGTCGTTGAAAAAAAGGGGATTCTTACTTTGTAGTTTTATATAATTTCATGTAGCCTATAACCAGCGGACTAATAAGACGCTTCTAATGATACCCCATTTATCAAATTATGACAAAGTAGTTTAGGAGTTAGGAGGTAACATGATTATGAACATACATACATACAAAATCATAACCGTCTTTTCGGCTTCGCCGTAGTCGGGTAACGAAATAATAGTGCAAAGTGCCATAGCAAGTATTTATTTCAGAGAAGTTACAGGGAGAGTAAGTAGAGAATAACCCTTCACCGCATTAAAGTAAATATTGAGGCCACACGTCACACGGTGTAGGGCTCCATGCGCGCCCAGTCCGCGCCCGCGCAGTGACACGTCACACGGTGTAGGGCTCCATGCGCGCCCAGTCCGCGCCCGCGCAGTGACACGTCACACGGTGTAGGGCTCCATGCGCGCCCAGTCCGCGCCCGCGCAGTGACACGTCACACGGTGTAGGGCTCCATGCGCGCCCAGTCCGCGCCCGCGCAGTGACACGTCACACGGTGTAGGGCTCCATGCGCGCCCAGTCCGCGCCCGCGCAGTGACACGTCACACGGTGTAGGGCTCCATGCGCGCCCAGTCCGCGCCCGCGCAGTGACACGTCACACGGTGTAGGGCTCCATGCGCGCCCAGTCCGCGCCCGCGCGCAGTGACACGTCACACGGTGTAGGGCTCCATGCGCGCCCAGTCCGCGCCCGCGCAGTGACACGTCACACGGTGTAGGGCTCCATGCGCGCCCAGTCCGCGCCCGCGCAGTGACACGTCACACGGTGTAGGGCTCCATGCGCGCCCAGTCCGCGCCCGCGCAGTGACACGTCACACGGTGTAGGGCTCCATGCGCGCCCAGTCCGCGCCCGCGCAGTGACACGTCACACGGTGTAGGGCTCCATGCGCGCCCAGTCCGCGCCCGCGCAGTGACACGTCACACGGTGTAGGGCTCCATGCGCGCCCAGTCCGCGCCCGCGCGCAGTGACACCGGCAGCGGCACGCTCAGCCCGCACTCACGCCCGCATTGCTCCATGGCGCGCTGCACTCGGCCTGCCATCGAGCCCTGCGTTACTACCATCGCAAAAGGATTAAAAAATGGCTAGCCATTTAGAAATCCAGGGCTGTTTTTAATCTGGCTTAGTAAAACCCGCCATTTCAATGTAATTCTTATGGTAGAGGCTAGATGGCGCTAACACAATTCATACGAAACTCAATTCGTACCTATACCTATATATCACTAAAAGTAAGAGAAGCTACATCTTATCCGTGTGCTACTGCGTGTGCACGGACGATATCCCCGTCGTTGACGGGCTCAAACTCGCCCTCTACGCCGACGACACCGCCTACTACGCGACGTCGCTGAACCAGTAGAGACACGTAGTAGTCAAAGTACAGCGCGCTCTAGATGCACTTCCTAAATGGCTGGAGAAGTGGAGACTGGCTGTGAACGTGGCGAAGACTCAAGCACTCGCCGTGGGGATCATGAAGCCGACACCCATGACACTCATGGGAGAGCAGGTCCGGTGGGCGCCGAGCGTTAAATACCTCGGCGTGACCATCGACCGCTCGCTCTCCATGGCGCCCCGCGGGCAACAGGCTGCTGCTCAGTCAGCTCCTGCGCCCGGTCATCCACTCGGCGCTACCTCTCCTGCGAAGTGAGGTATCTACAAGGCCTACATTCGGACACGGCTCACCTACGCCGCCCCGCATGGTACGCGCTCGTGTCCGAAACAAACAGGAAGTACGCGTCCGTGCACAGCAGTCGCTGACGTCATCACAATCACCACATACCATCGTCCAAGCCCCGCGCTTCGTACAGAACGCGACAATCGCCCGAGACCTCGGCATAAAGAGCGTCGACGCCTTCGTCTCACGGCATGACCACCTCCGGGGTCTGGCGCCCTACCACCGGCGCCCCCCTGTCGGCTTCGGACACCCGCGAGACCGTCGTACCGACCGACCCACCAGACGCCGCGTGTGATTCCCGCCCGCCCGCTCTGGGCGGGTTGGTAGAGACTCCGCCCCCACCGGACACGACCGCACGCCGCTAACAGCCCGCCGCTCGCTGGGCTTGCCCGGCTAGAGCGTGGCTCGTGGCGGGGCAACCAACGGACTCGACACCACATCGGTTTCCGAGAGGACCCCGACTACTGCAACCCCTCACCCCGCCTCGCTGTAGCAGGCAGCGAACGAATCCACCGAGACAGACATCGCCTGGATCGTGTGTCCTCGCGCCCCTAGCCGGGGACGTTGAGATGACCCGACGAGAACTAATAGTAACATTTTGTATACTAATGGGTCACTGTTTTATTATAGGTAAATAGTATTCAGTACACAGTGCCCCACCTGCCGCGTCGTGCAGGCGGTGCTCGTCCACCTCCCACACGAGCTCGTCGTGCACCTGCAGCACCAGCGCCGCGTCCGCCGCGTCCAGCGCGCGCGTCGTCGCCACCATGGCCATCTTGCACACGTCGGCGGCCGAACCTGCGCACTATACGTACGTTTATTTAGGTGTCTATTGCCTAGTTGCCTACTCTGTATGGTCGCGATTACTTCGCTCGCATACTTTAAAATCACAATTATTAAAAAGTGATACGGGAAGCGCGACATACCCTGTACGACAAAATTAAGGGCCTGACGCTGCGCGTGCGCGCAGTCGTACGGCGGTGCGTGGCGCGCGGCGGGCGGTGCGTGGCGCGCGGCGGGCGGTGCGTGGCGCGCGG